TTATATTGTTATATTGTCTTTATTTAATATGATAGTTGATTTATTTGAATTAGAAATTTTGATTGTTGATTTTATATTAGTCATTGAAAAAATATAAGATAATTATAATAGTTAAATATTTGTATATCTTATAATAAATATTGAAATATGTCAAATCGAAAATATGAATCTAGTTATTCAAAGCTTAGAAAAAAAAACAAGAATTGAAAGTTTAATACAATCTCAAAAAGGAACACTTGATAGATTTTTTGCAAGAAATAAAAATAATGAGTAAGAAATTATTAATGAATGTTCCTTAAATGAACAAGCTAATAATCTTAGAGAGTCATATAATTATGAAATACTAGAATAAGAAGTTAATGAAGAGATTCAAAATGATCATAAAAATCAAGAAGAGATTCAAAATGATCATAGAAATCATAATGAAGAGGATCAACTTATTAATTTAAATGTTTGCATTCCTAAAAAAATTTATGATCCAAGTCAATGGACAAATATTGATACAAATTTAAGAGATTTATTTGTAGAAAAATGTCCAATTACAGTTAATGATTTATATTTCCTTAAAGATGAGTTTTCAAGATATTTTTTTACTACATACTATATCCAAAAGTTGGCAAATAAGGAGACGCATGAAAGAAGATGGCTAGTTTATTCAAATGACTTAGATAGAGTACTTTGTTTTTATTACAAATTGTTTAATTTGGCTTCTAGTATAAGTAAACTAGCTAAAGATTATAGAAACCTTAGTGTTAAGTTTAAGAGTCATGAAATGAGTAATAAGCATATTACAAATATGAGTTCTTGGAAGGATTTAGAAATGAGATTATTGAAAAATAAAACAATTGATAAAAGTGCTCAAAAACAATAAAACGAGATGAAGAATATTGGAAAAAAGTATTAACAAGAATTCTTACTGTAGTAAAAACTAGGATGGAGGAACTATGATTTTTTTAATAATTTTTTTAATTTCAATAAAAACGGTCCCATGTGAATATTTCGCTTTAGGCCTTTAAACTTATTAAATTGTCCTTGGAGGCAACTACTAATTACTTAGTGAGAATAGAATAAAATAATTATTATATAGTTTGGTTTATGAAATAGAATAATGTAAGAATTGCTATTATGACTTATTTTAATATTTAGTTGGTAGGAATATTTTTGGAATAAGCTAGAATAACTAATAAAAGGACAAAACTACCGCTTATTATAATAAAATTTATCATCAAAAACAAAAATAAATTCTATTTTCATTAGATACAATAATTTATTATTAAATTATTCGTATAATTTTTTATATTTGTAATTGATTATTAAATTATTGAATTATTTGTTATTAAATTAGTTATATAATTTTTTATTTTAATTATTTGAATCATTTTTTTCTATTTATATCTTTCATTTTTTAATCTTTTAATTTCTGTTTTCACTAAACATCAATAATTTATTATTAAATTATTAATATAAATTTTAATTTTTTCTTTATTTTAATTTCCCTTTGTTTCCTCA